CATTTTTTTTTTATAATTCTTTTGTTTTTTGCATGGATATGCATACCCATATGCATCGATTTTTCAGTACTTAATATATATTTATTTATTTATTTATTTATATTTCATGTGGAAATTGCGTTATTTATATAATAAAAATGTGATGTGCGGTAAAAAAATAAATTTTAAATTATTAAATGGAATGAATCTTTTAACATTAACATTTGTATTATATTTAATAATTTCTATTTCACAATCAATGTAATTTTAATTGCATAACAAGCAATTCTTTATATAAATAAATAAAGTTATTTTCTTCCACCAAATTTAGATTTGGAGTAATGGTTAGAAATTGAAACTTTTACTATTTCTTGATTCTGCCACCTTGGTCAATTATGATGACTACAATAAGGTGATAAAATGATGGAAGTTTCATGTTCTGCTTGTATGCCTTGAGTCTACCACAGCCTGAACCTACCAGCCCATAGGATAGTTTGATGGGTTTAACTATATATTTTACATGGGCTTACTAGTTACTATAGAGCAAAAGCCTATGTGCCCTGTCCGACTGTCTGTATTCCCGTGGGCTTCGGCCTCCATTTTTCCTTTTCAAGGATGACAACTCAACTACGTTCTTCTTGTTGGTATAATTCTGAAATAGAAGTCATCTTTTAGGAGTCCTTGTTTAGTTTAGTTGTTAACCTTTTTCTAATCCAAATATAGAAAGAAACTTTCATATGTGCTTTTTTTTCTTTTTTTTTTTTCTCTAAAACCAAGCATGCTCTAAAATTAACATTTGATTTCTATTCTTCTTAAACGAAGTATATTCTAAATTTAAAGGTTCGAGTAGCCAAGTGATGCCATTCACTACAACACTTACTTTTGGAAAAAATATAAAGGCAAAATCCCCTCTTAAGCCCCTAGACTTACCCCAACTAACACATGAGCTTTTAAACTAAAAATGGTGTAAATAAGCCTTCAAACTCTTTAAATGATGTAAATTAGCTCTCTCGCAAACCTCTCGAAAAGATACAAATCAACCATCAAACCTCTCAAACGATACAAATGGCCCAATGCATGTGACCTCATGCAATTTGTGCTTTTCCTTTCTTCGTTCCACATTTTCACATGGGTTTCCTTGTATCAAAGAAATTCTTAGACAATAAAATCTTGCCAAAATGGCTCCTATGACCCTTTTTTTTATTTAGTATTTTTTAAGCAACATGAATAATTTTGGTGGGATTTTTACCATCTAAGGGGTCTTCTGATCGACATGGAAAGGGGATCAAGTGAAAGAAAAGAATGGATAGCGTGAGATCACATGCATTAGGCTGTTTGATGAGGGTTGATTTGCATCTTTCAAGGGGACTGAGGGCAAATTCATATCATTTGAGAGGTTTGAGGTTTATTTGCATTGTTTTTATAAGTTTGAGGGATCAAGTGTTAATTTGAAATAACTTTAGGGGCTTAAGATGGAGTTTTGCAAATATAAATGGCATGTTCTTCAAAGTCGTGGGACCATAATAAACACAAGATATTTCCGAAGACCATTATTCAAAATGCAGTGCCATTGGCATCCACACAAAAGAAATCTAGAACGCGTGGACGAATTTTTTTTATTTTTTTAAACAATGTTATCATGGAGCTCAAATCCATCCAAAAGAGAAAGAGGGATGCACCTTGAGGTGACAAAAAGCCAAGGTGTTAGGATGCGTGGACGATTGGAAATGGAATCTTATCGGCATCCCATACAAAAGAAGTCCAATTTGACGACTTAAAAAGAAT